CGCTCTCTGCTTTGCCTGGGGTGGAAGCGTGGAGGTTTTTGTCTGGTCATGTCACGTTTTAATTTAGCGTGCCCCACACTTCTGTGGCTCCTCATTGTTGGCCAGGGAGCTGAGGTGCAGCACAGGGCTCTCCCTCCCTGTCCATCGTCCTGCTGGGGGCAGGCCCTGTTCTGCGCCAGAGGCACTCCCCATGCTTTCCCCCGTCCTTTTGTTTCTAAAGTCTGTGCGAGGAAGCCCGCCTGACTGACGGCTTCAACCAACGCGGGGCCGTCTCCCTGCTGGGCGGCCGCGTTTGCTCTCCCTAGTTTCAGGCAGCTCTCCTGCCTGAGGGGGTAGGAGACCACTGCGCTGGCAGGCCAGGAGATGGCAGTTCCCCAAGCAGTCAGTTCCTGCTGCTTTATGTCGGTTTACCAAAACTGGGGATTTATAAAGTGGCTGTTGTTGGTGGCTTAGGCTGCACGGGCAAGCCCCAGTGGGTGATGGTGAACGGAGAAGTGGTGGGAGTGCTTGTGCCGCTGGGTGCTATCATTTCCTTGCCTGTAGACCTCTCAGAGAGGCCGGGGACTGAAAAGTCCTCACTTCATCCTGAGACACCAAGGGCAGCATGGAAGGATGCATATGACAGTAAAACAACTATCGATGGAACGTCGATCCTTGTCAGAAATCCTGTGGCAGCAGAAATTAGGTGGAAGAGGCTGAACAAGAAGAAAGTTTTTAATTTGCCATGACAGGAAACAAAGCTGTGTCTTGTCAAAAAATTATAGCTCCCTTTTTCTGCCTGTCTGTCGCATGTCAGCAAGCCTCCTGATGACTTTCTTGAACAAAGGCAGCTTTACAGAAATGTGCTGAGGGAATGAATTGCAAAAATCGAGTTTATGAAGGAAGGAAAGGTTTAGGCAAGCACCGTAACTTAAATTGCATTTGGTACGGCAAGCGTTGAGCCATATGATGTTTATATTTGTCTCTTAGTTTTTATATTGAAGCAAGTTGCTACTTTTCCTGTTGCTTTGACAACATGGTGCAGTGGTGCCTGGGGACTGGGAAGGGGTCCCGTAAGAGATGGGAGCCCATGGGACTTGCCACCCTCCTCTCAGTCAGGAGTAAGACACAAGCCTGATGATGAGAGTTCTACGAAAGCTGGTGAGCAGCGATTCCCGTCACACAGGCAGGAAGGCTGCTCTCTCGATGTGAATGCAGACAATAACCTGCTTTCCAAGGGCAGGCTCACTCCAGCACCCCACAGAGGTTGCACCAGAGCTGTCGGTGAGCAGGGACCTGAGGGCCCGCAAAATGCAAACTCATTCTGAATGGCTTTAGCCTAAAATACATCAATTACAGAGCACTCCTGTCAAAATTGCTCTTAGTCAGGCTACTAATGACATGGCATTCACAAGGGTAGGACACATGCCTAGTTTCAAAGACCCTTTACGCTCAGGCG